ACACAGAGATGCCTGTTCCTGCCTGTCTTAAAGCCCACCCACAATTTCATTTTCAATTAGCAGCTCCTCGAAAGGCAGTAATGAAAGCAGTTGCTAAAGAGCATTCAGATGTCACGGAAAGACTGCAAACCCAAACTGTAAATAGCACATTGTGAGTCGCCTGTCACCACCATCAACTCCCACGGGAATCTCGCAGCACGTGGCTATCATAACCATCTGCTCGGCTCCCCACCAACATCACTGCAAACCACACAGTCACCCACCACTCCCACCTCCCACTCATTACCTGTCATGCACAGACTTGTGTGAAGATGAGAATGCTGTGAATAGAGAATAGAGAATACACGGAGGCTTATTTTATGTTCTGCAGCTGAGATCAGACCACATGCAAATTACTGTGTATAATCAGAAGAGGGAAAAGTGTACAAATAGCCTCAAACCCAAAATGTAAATTTAAATAAAGCAAAATAGTTCTCTTCTATCCTCATCCATTACCAAAAGTACACTAGATAGACCTGTTTAAGATAAAGACAGATTTCCTCACCATTCAAGCAGTATTATCCTAGGAATATGTGGGTATAGAGTGAAGAATCTCTCCTGTTGGTTTATATTTCTATATTTATTTCATTACAAATATATAGGACTTAAGTAGCCCTTGAGCAGTGCACACACACACCTCCTCAAATTCTTACTGTGTGAAACAACTTTTATAAGGGTAAGTCCCACTAACCTGAATCACTGCTCACTCTCTTAATAGTACTTTTTTTTTCCTGTTCAACATATTTTTTCTATAGGTTTTATTTGATGAAGCAGTAGTTATGTGCCATGTGCTTTTAAAAATATTTAAAGTTTAAATATTTATAGTTTTGGAAGAGGAGATGACTTATAATCTAGTATTTCTGCAGGCCTGAGCCCAGGTTGGGATCCTAAGGCACCCACGCCACGGCAGGCTGTAAGTACCACTGAAAGCTCTGAAAGGTTCCCCAGCACTGTCAGTGCTCCAGTGTTGTAATTTTCTGCTCAAATACATGATGGTGCTATTTCTTCAGACACACGTAAACCAGCACATGTCTCTAAGACAGCAGCTTCCCACCAAACTTCACTGGCCAGATCAGGGCTCTGACAGGGGACGCACGATGGTGAAGAGCCAGGTGGAGTGTCCTCCTTAGTCTCATGCTCAACATCTTCCACTTCCGGGTTCCACTGAAGTCTTACCAACAGGTGTTCAGCGCGAAGTTCCAGTAGTGCTGTATCTTAGTCACTTGCTTACCATTGGGATATAATAACTGATGCCCACAATTTAAAGGGGTAAAGATTTATTTTAGCTCATGGTTTCAGGTCATGGTTGGATGGTTCTGAAGCAGAGGGGAACAGCTGAGGAAAAGTTACAGCATGAAAGTCAGTAGGCAGACAGCAAAGGGAGGAAAAAAGAAGGAAGGCACAGCCTTGCAGGCCACATGCTAGTGACCAAGCTCTTCTAAAAGGCTCTGCTTCCAACAATACATTCAGGTATGGATTCACACGTGAATTAATTAACCCAAAGTGGAAAACATGTGCTCCATGATGTGCTCCAATCACCTTATGCACTTCTGAGAATTCTGAGGGACATTTTAAATCTAAACCACAAAAGATCCACAGTGTGGTAGACAGAGAACTGTATTCAGTACCACAGTTTGTAACCTTCACCTGACTACACAATTCTTGAGAAGCAAATGGAACCCCATTTAACACATGACACTTGAAATTCTAAAGAATGAGGTAAAACTGGCTTAGTGCCCCTCACGTTTCCTTTTTTAAAATTGTTTTATTTATTTATGTGTGTGTGTGTGAGTGTGTGTGTGTGTGTGTGTGTGTGGCCAGCTCAGCCCACTAGGGGGCGGGGCTGGCTGGCATGTGGTGCTGGGGGATTGAACCGCAGTCCCTGTGCTTTGCTAAGCTTGTTCTAAGTAGGTGCTTTAGACCACTGAGCCATCTCACCAGCCCACCCCTCACATTTCTTAATAATAGTTGAAGGTACCTTCAGGCATTTAACCATTATAACAAATGTATTTATGAAAGAGCACATACCAAAGTTCGTATGTCTTTCTATTATAAAAGTATAATCCCAAATTACAATCATATATTAAATGCTCAGGGATTTCTTGAAACCTATAGACTCTAGAGTCAAACTCAGTAAATACTTGTGCAGTTTTTGGCATAGATTTCCACCCAGAGCTAATTAGCAGGTCTTCAGAAATGTGACCTGAACTGGATTGTGTTTAACCAAAGTTTTCCATTACAAAATCTCCTTTGCAAAGTAATTTCTTTTCTCTTTTCCTTTATCCCAGTTTCTCTTTCCTTTTAAAGTTCCCATATTATAATATCTATTGTACATTTTGGATCTTATTTACTCTTTCAGTTTTTCACACTAGGGAAACAAAACAAAGTAGTTTCTATTAGCAACAAATTTTACAGAAAGCACCTCAGGCACCACAGGTAAGTCTCATTGAAAGAAAAGACCAGCCTCTGGAAGCAAACAATCACAAAGGAAGGAATATGAACTTGAATACACTACTCCATCCACATGAGTAGAAACACAGGTGATAGCTTAGTTACCTGGACTCTTCTATACCATCACAGCCACTCCAAAGGGCCAACATGCAATGCCAGTACACAATACAAATGCAACCATCACACACAGCTTTAATAACAGCTCTTTCATTAGAATTTTGCATTAGGATTGCTTCCCCTTCTTCTAGAAATCAGCAGGAATTTTGTGTCTATAATTTACAATGCCAACCCTAAGTGTTCCACCAAGTTTGACTCCACTACACTAGATTTTAGGGAGAAAAGCAAATTTGTATTCCTTACAAGCATTACCAATCCAGATCATCTTATTTAAAGCTTTTAAACCATGTAAGGTGTTCCAACATAAGACATTCCTACCAGCAAGGTTAGAGTCTACCTACTTTTCCTTGTGACATATCCCAATTCTTTTTATATTCTGCTGAAATGGATGCATTCTTACAGTCACCTATGAGTAGAAGAAATCTCAATAGCAAAATTTATATAACAAAAAAATGGCTTCTACTACAGTGTTCAGCCTATTTCTCTGATGTAGTTCTTACTAGAAATAAAGGACAAACTAATGGACTAAACAGAGATTTAGAAATCCAACTGGAGCCAAATCTGAGTTTTTCGACCTGTCATTAACTTTTCATTATTCCTGCTCTATTTTTAAAACGCTTTCTCTGTGTTATGAAAGAGCACATACCAAAGTTCGTATGTCTTTCTATTATAAAAGTATAATCCCAAATTACAATCATATATTAAATGCTCAGGGATTTCTTGAAACCTATAGACTCTAGAGTCAAACTAATCATGTAGTTTCTAGAAATACTTGTATACTCCTCTCTGTCCTCTGACCTACAGTTTTCTTGCTGTTTCTTCCAAATCTTTATCTCAAGCAAAGAAAACAAAATGTACAGAGGAAACTAAGCAAATACTGGGGATAGGGAGCTCTGAGTCTAAACGCTAGCTCTGTCTCTCACTGCTAGATGAACTCTGACCAACCATTTTATCTCTTTACACCCCAGATTCCACATCTGTAAGTTAATCATGGTAATTACATACCAGGCAGGGTTGTAGTACAAATTACAGGTTATACTATATAAAGCTGCTTCAATGAATGACTGCAGACTAGATACAAGTAGATAAACATTAGTAATTACTGTTATAACTCCAACTTGAGATTTTGGAGCCCATGAGCACCTTTGGAAACACTGCCCAAAGTGTCAGATTTAAGAACATTACACTGGACTTCTTCAAGTCTATTCTGAAACTTATTACTCCAGATGTTATAGCCTTCATTACCCATTAAGCTGAACTCTGAATAAAACTTCTAATAAACCTCCTTGATTCCTTTAATCTAATTTCGTAACTAAAAATTATCACCCAAAACACACACTTGATGCATCAATCTGACCACTATCAAATAGAAAGTTTCTTAATCTACAATTTCATGAGATCCTAAGGAAATACCAGGAAATTCTGGTTACTAAGAAACATGATATTATTTTAATATTGTATGATATTTTGAAAACAATATATTGTATGATTCCAGATCTTTCCCTCTGCAAATAAACATCTGCAATCTAGAAATTACCTGTTCCACTTTTAATCAGCAACACCTGCTCTATGAACCCGAATTCTTTCCTCTGCTTCCTTCAAATGACAGGCAATCCCACCCAATAGTCTTACCAAAAACAAAATGCAACAAGTATACAGGTAAATGCCACAGGCACTAAAGCCTTCCTATTAGTGGATAAAATTTGCTAAGAATAGCTTTATTTTGCATTATTACTCGGTGTCATTTGTGAATTTCCACAGGCACAAAGGATCCCCAATAACAAGAGCTGTATTTACTCGTGTATCACTGAAAATTATTAACAAGACAGAGAGACCCTCTCCAAGACTTTTCTTTCACCAGCAAGTCTTCCAAAGCTAATTCTGAGTTATAGCTTAAGGAAAACAACTAAGGTACCAAAAGTCAAACTCATTTCTTTGCCCATGCTCTACACGCCACAGTACTTGGGCATTATAGAAAACACTAATCATTTTCAAGACGTGGCTGGCACACATCATCATTTCTAGCAACTGAGAACCTAAGTTATACAATGTACATGGGCAAATTGTTCTATTCTGCTTGTCCTAATCACAAAGCCCTCTCTTCACACGCCATCTTGATGATTATGAGGCTTTAGTGTGCTTAAGCAACAGTCATCCAGCATAGAGCTTTGCTGTGCAGAGAACATCTGACTGAAAGTGTATTGTGATAAAGTTTTAAATCCTAATAAAAAGCATCAAGACTAGTGTCATACTTATTTAGAGATAAGTACACAACTCTGATGAGCAGCCACTTCTGCAAACCATCAAGGACATCTTCTCTGCCTGTTCAGAAGAACCACAGACGACAGGAACCTGAGAAGGTCAGAGCAAAAAGCAAACTCAAACTTCCTCACCTGTCTGAGTCCCTTTGTCATTTTCTTTCTCTTCCCAAGATGCTGGCAGAGATTGCGGTCATTTTCTCGATCTGAACTGTAGTGATGTGGATGGCTGAGCCTACTCTTCTTTGAATGAAAAGACAAGCCATTGGTAAGTGCTTCTCGTTTCTTCTTACTCAGGGGAGTCTGGCCTTTCTCCACACGTTCCTGAGGCTTAAGTGCTACATCTTTCTGTAGAAGAGAAAGAAAAAGAAGTAGTGGTTACACTGATATCTACGCTCACACCCAAATTATAAATTAAACACTATTAGTAAAAAGGTAGAGAAGAGAGAGAGAAATGAAATATAAAATACCTAAAACTGTGAACCATGGCACTTAAATTATCTGAATCATTAAGGACACCACAAAAACTCTTATCTATGTTTACTGAACAGAAAACTCCAAAAGCACTATGGAGTTATCCATTGAAAATGATTTCACTGGTGCCTGGGATAGTGACTTTTTATTAGATTCAGTGCTAGATTCATCACATGAAATTCCCAAAGGAAGCTCAATACACTTAATTTCTTAATTGTTACATCGATTACTGTATGTTCACCCAAAAAGTACTAAGTGAATGCTAGATTCAAAATAAAATGCACAAGATTGAAGGTATCAGAGCAAGGTGGATGTGAGCCACCAAGAAATCATCAATCCAATATGATTAAAATGTTTCTTTAATGCTTTATTCTTTTACCATATTACTCTGAATATCCTTAATATCTACCTTTGCTAAATGAAATGACAGTATTATTATCAAAACCAACAACATGAACTTCCATTCATTCCTGTATGTGAGTAGAACTGGGAGAGGGATAGGAGATGGATAATTAGTGCCCTAGAATGAGGAGCCACACCTGTAGATATACTAGACCAAAATCTCAATCTACAAGACCTGGTAGAGTTTTACGGCACCTGACATATCAAAAGGCCTGAGTTCACATTTTTCTTTAGGGGACTTGGAGTATGTCAACACAAACCTGAGACCATTTGCAAACTGGATTCACAGAAGATCAAACAACCTCATCTGTCCTTTGAACCCTGACAAATCCTGTACATACTACATAGTCAAATGAAAATGATTTGCCCCTCAATTATTTATAAATGAAAAAATATGCTCCTTTTCAAACAGAAAATGTTGCTTCACCTAGCCTCACTCTCAGTTTCTGTCATCATAATAGTACATTTAAAAATGAAATAATGGAAGGCTGGCCTGATTGCTCAGCAGACTAAAGTGCCTACTTAGGCAGAGCGCAGCTGCCTGGGTTCAATTCCAGGCATGCTGTGCCAGCCCTGCCCCTGGGGGCTGATGAGATGGCCATTGAGACTGGGCTTGGTGACTCACGCCTGTAATCCCAGCACTTGGGAGGTTGTAAACAGAAGAATCACTACAAGTCTGATCTATGTAGTGAGACCATGAACACCCTGTAGACCTTGCCCTAAATACAGGGAAAAAAAAAAAAAAAAAAAAAAGAATTAAAATTACCCTAGGCCCTTGCAAATGCCTGAGTATTTGTTATTTCTCAAAATTTACATATTGAAATTTGTACACCGCCCCCAAGGGGATAGAGTTAAAGGAAGGGACTTTTGAGCATGGTTTGATTATGAAGGACTCCCTCATAAGTGAAATCAATCCTCTTATAAAAGAATCTTAAGCAGTTTGCTTGTGCCTTCCACCATGAGAAAAACAGCCAAGAGACATGATCTCTAAGGAACCAGCCCTTACTGGATGCTGACTGTGCTAGTCCAGCAATCTTAAACTTTGCTGGCCTCCAAACTGTGAAAAAATAAATGTTGGCTTTTTTATAAGTGACCTGATCTACATTATTTTGTTATAATTACCTGAAAGGGCTCAGACAGGTTTTACACTCTTTAACTTCAGCTTCCATATTCTTCCTTTCCTATTAGGACATTTAGAACTGCTGCCTACTCAGAGAGACTTTCTTTTATTGTGAAGCACTCTTGTTCTCAGGCCATTAAGCAACAAACATTGTACTGAATGTTATGCCAAAAATAAACTTAATACTGAGCTCTGCAGATGCTGGGAAGACAGACAAGTGTGTGAAGAAAATTTCCTAGGCATGGAGGACCTAGAACTTAGGGGACAAACGCTAATCAAATCATTCAAATACAGAGTAAGTAAATATTGACTGACTAGCTCTAAAGGAAAAATATGGGGTGCTAAAACTGAAAAAATAATACACAGCAAAGCAGAGCATTAAGGTTGAGGAAATGCCTCTAACTTGATCTAGGTCGGAAAGGTTGAGCAGAGGGAACTATGTGAGCATAAGCCTTATGCAGCAGCCTTATGGTGCTGACAGTGTAATCCCCCAATGAAAGAGGGAGAAGAATAAGCAGCTAATGTCAATAACCCCAGTGTTTTATATAATAAATGTTTCATATAACTCAAGCAAATAATAGGTGATCGATATATGCTTGTTGAATACATAAAAGTGAAAACTAGCTGAAACACCAAAACTTATAAAGTGTAGTAAAGATAAAGCACAGTAGTGATTTTTAAAATATTTTAAATTGCCATGAATAAACTGCCAAGCAAGCTAGAAAAGCTGATAATGGCTGTAAACCAGTCCACTTAGCAGGCAGTGTAGGCATACAACATGGATCACAGAGATAGTAAAAAATCTCCAAAGAGACAAAGACCCATGCTTGGACCAAGAAAATATCAAAGATAACAGACTAAATAATATCAAAAATAGAAGTTCTGTAAGGCCAATGAATGGCTCTGGATATAACTCCTAGGTACTACCATTGTAGATAATTTTCCCTCTGCTATGAGAATTAGTTCTGAGGCAATAAAGATGTGGCAAGAAGTAGTGAAAGGGATAATCTGAAATCAAAGCAAGTGTAAAGGCCACTGATTCCCAGCCCTAGACTTTTATGGCTAACATGTGGTAAAGGCTGAATAAATGTTGCTAAATTGAATTCCTTTGTCCACTGTCTAGTACCTTGATTGGCTGTTACATATCTGCTCAACTCAAAAATGTTCTGAGTTTAGAATTACATGTAAATAAAAGTCAGCTGTCATGAAAAGATGCTTATATACAATGGCAACACTAGCAGAAGAAACTAGGTGAGCTCCATCTGAGCTGCTTTTATATGATAAAATTAAACTGCATTACTTTCTAAGAGTAACATTAAAGTTACATATAGGGTAAAAGAAAACACTTGCTTTGTCCTACAACCCACCTACTGTTCTATACATGTACATACAGAGTATCAGATTAATAAACAACCGATATTTAACATTAACTATGCTGTTTTAAAATTATGCCATTGTCGTTAGAGATCAAATCTTTCATACTGAAGGTGCCTCCAAAGTATACTGAAAATTATGTGCAATTTCATACAAATGTGAATTAATATTTATGAGAGTATGTTGTAATATTTCCAAATCCATTTTATTTTCATGTAGCATATTAATCAAGGCATTCTCACTGCAGTGCAGAATAGCTACACAGAGCAAATGGACCCCATGCAGCGACACTAGCTTGTGAGAGACCTGCTGAAGTCTTAGCAACAGTAGTACAATCATCTTAGCTCTGATTAGTATTACGATTTCACAGAGGTGGTGGTGGGAGTAGATCAGAGGGTATAGAGAGGTGGTGACTTAAGAGGTGAGAGAAAATAGAAACTTCAAAAAGTGTTTATTACATAAGAACTGTATTATTTTCAAAGAGTAGAGATTACATCAACTTTTTAAAAGCTAAATCTTCAATTACAAATTTCTGTACAGATCCTTTGTTATAAACCTAAGTAAAGTAGCGCATTGTTCATACCCATCATCGACATTTATTGACTATTCACTCTGTATAAAATAATCTTTTAACTTTTCATGGATAGTCCTGGACAAAAAAAGAGACTCAAATGCCTCAAGATAAACAATAAGAATCAAAGACAAAAGAGATTCAATATAATCACCTTATCAACATTACAATGAGCTGGGGATATAGCTCAGTAGAATAAGTGCTTGCCTGGCAAGCACAAGGTCCTGAATTCTATTCCAGATACCACCAAAAAACAATTACAAACTTCCTTAATGATTCCACACATCTATATGTACGTACACACGTACACACACACACACACACACACACACACACACACACGATAGATATATAGATATGCCAACCCAATAGTAATGAAAGAATATCCTTAGAGAAACTTTGTCATTATGCTGTAATATGGTGAGACATTTATGTAATACATGAAAATTTATTTAAAGAACCTTTTGGGATCAATGAACAGCAATTTGTTAAGCCCTGTTTTTCATCAATCTAACATGATTTAGGTATGCTAGTGGTTCCCAAAGGAAACTGTCCATCAGAACTACTGTGGGACTCCTTTTTCTTCTTTTAGTGCAGGGTCTCACTCTGCAGATTGGACTTGTAGTGATCCTCCTGTCTCAGCCTCCCCAGCACTGGGATTACAGGAATGTGCCACCATGCCTGGTTTCATGGCAGGCACAGTGCACTCAAGGTTCTGGGGCCAGCATGGCATGCAGTACCAGGAAATGAACTCAGGACATTGCACTGGCCAAGCAGGTGCTTATGCCACCAAGATATCTCCCCATCCCATTGGATTAGCTCCCCGTATTTTTCCTTTAGAGCTGGTAGGGCTTTTTTGAAACAGGATCTTGGTATATAGCCCAGCCTGGCCTCAAACTCTTGTGGATCATCTTGCTTCAGCCTCCCGAGTGCCAAAATTATAGGTGTATATAAGTACATCTGGCTACCAACAGGGCTTACTGATAACAGGACAACTATACACCATATTCTGAAATAAAAGCACTTAGTAAATGAACAGTAGGTGGAAGAATATGCTACCAGAATACGTACCATTTGTCATAAGGATTACCTTATGCCAAAACCCTTGAAAAACAACAAAATCAAGAGGGATGCTACTCTCCAGGCACCATGAGAAAACAGCTAGAGAGAAAAGAAAATGCCCATGTGAAAGATTATCTATCCCTATAGTACAAGAAAAGAAACTGTATTATTATCAGAAAGGGGATCTTGGCCCTAGAAAAAAATTGTATACAAACAGATTTTGCTTAATGTAACTGGTAAGCTACCTTTCTCTATACATTTTATTTTACTTTTACACAACTGCCCTTTATCTAATTTTTTTTGACTATTTTATTTGATACAGAGTCGCACCACGCAGCTCAGACT